CGATTATATATATATATATATATATATATATATATATATATAAATATATATATATTTGTTAAATCTAATTTAGTAACAGGATTAGAAACGCAATAATTGCAATAACTTATTCTTTAGATATTCTATAAGAAGATTAAATACAAAGTTAATTATAAATTCAGTTTTTAGGACATTTATTTTTTCATTGGAGATTAAATTAAAATGATCACTATAAATTTACAATAAAATATTAGCAGTATAATTTATAAATTTTATTTAAAGCTTCTTTTCTCTTTCCAATAAAATCGACATATTTTTGTAATCGACTTTCTGAATCTTTAGCGATAAATTCTCTATTAAGTTTTAAGTCGACCTTTTTGGAGCAAAAACTTTTCGGAACTAAAAAATTATCATTGTTAATTTATAATCTTACCTACTTTTATAAAAATAAGCTTTAAACATTAAAAATTCTATTCTTAATTTTTTTTCAATTATAGTGATAGGATATATGATTTAAAAAAAAGATTTATATATATGATCAATTTGTACTTTTTTTGAAAATTATTTCGCAAAAAAATTTCTCAATTGCTCATAATTTTAAAAATTTAAACTATGAACATTTTCTGCTATGAAAAATTCGACTTTAATTTTTCAAGAAAATCTGCCATTTAATTTGAGACTGCGAAGTACAGATTTTAAAAAAGGAAAAAAAAAGATTTTATTTTTCTCAAGTTCACAGCCGATAATTTCTACATATCTTCTCTGCATTAAAGATTTAAAGTTGGACAATATTCTAAATTAACGCGGTAAAACTCTACGAAGACATATTAATATGTTGTGACAACGGATTAATCACAAAACTAAATCCACGATCTATAAAATATGGGATGTGATTTCAATACCAAACACATTTCAGCAATAAATTCTTTTAGTGTGTTTCGAGAACTTAGTTTCTCATAAACTTGATCAAAGAAATCGTTTATTTTTAATAGTTTAGCAACATATTCAAATTTTATCATATTTTAAAAATATATTACCTGTAGAACGGTATATCGGTATCAAAAACATCCGAGTAATACATTTTTTTAAGGCCTTAAAACAAAAGAATTTAATTCGTGGTGAAACATTGCGAACGTATATACATATATGTATATACACATTTATACGTGTGTGTGTGTGTGTGTGTGTGTGTGTGTGTGTTGTGTGTGTGTTGTGTTGTGTTACACGCATAAGGTGTCACATAAAGACCGTAAACAACGCTTAAGATTCCTGAGATCATTTTGAGACGAAAATCCTAATATCAAAATGTTGAAATTGCAATTCTTTTTGAATTATAAACAGAGTTAGCGAATCAAATTTTCTGAAATTCGCTCAGGTATGGTATAATGTACAGTATGAAAAGCGAAAGTTAACTGTGATCCTTTTGTCATAATTGATATAAAGATTATAATACACAGATAGTGAGATTATTTTTACTGATATTCACATATATCATCATATAATACACTGTCTGAGTAGATTACATCTTACTGAAAAGAAGAAAAAATGTTATTACATAATATGTAAAGGGTAAGCTATCAGATGACATTCTTCTTAGAAATCTACTAGTTTCATATCTTACAAATATTCCTAGAATAAGCAAGATTATCATCATTGAAATCGATCGAAATACTATTTTAGAATAATAATAATTTTAAAGTAATTTATAAATAATTCATAAAATAATTTTAATAATAATAACGATAAATTATTTTATTTTGTTTAACTTATTTACAATAAGTGCTCAAATTGTGCCATTTATTTGTAACATTAATTTTTTTCAAAACACGGAGCAACAGATTTTTTTGGCAACTTTTTTTGGCAACAATAAATAAGAGTTGCATGTGAAGATATTAGAATGAATTCTGCCCACTCTGCTTTGCTAAATTATAAGATGTGGTTTACGGGAAGGAGCGATAGACTTTAAAGCTGGAACATACACGTTCCATTGATCGCGAAAGGTATAAGCGATTTTATGCGCGACAAATGTAGTATACACAGTGGTTCTCAACAAAATTCAGGGAGGAATGAAGGAAAAGAAAAAGGGGGAAAAAAAAAGAAAAAAAAAAAAGAGAGAGAAAACAGAAAAAACTTACCGTTTGAAATGATCCCTGATGCGATCCTCTCGGATGTTTTCCGGCAGATTTCCAACCCACAGGTGACGTGTCTCTCTAACCATTTTGCTCCGAACTCTTCATTTGGGATCGGATGTTGTGGTATCGTTTGGAGGCACTGTACAACGACACACAACCTCGACCAGAATAGAATAATTCACTCGACACACCACTAACACTCAGAGAAACGCGCTATTTCCTTTCTTTTTGGTCGATCGAGACAGATCGAACTCTCCCCCGGACTTCTCTCTCGCACTCTCCTTCTTTCCTTAGGAACTCTAAACCTGCCTCCGCTGCGCTCCTGTCTTCGCTTTATCTCCACCGACGGAGAGATCAATTCGTACACGTCCTTCTCCTTCCCTCGCTCTCTCTCGGACACTCCCAATTTGATTTCACTTTGGCGAAACGAGATGGTTGATCACTAGTCGCTGGCCGGCAATAGATGAGCCCAGCAGATGCGACGAGTGCTGTCGTCGAAGACGCGGCACGTCGTAGGCACAATCACACGTGCGTGCGCGGACAGGACGACGACAGCGGCCGCGGCTATCACCGGAAGAATGACGACGGCAGCGAGAACGACGGCGACGACGGCGACGGCGACGGCGACGGCGGCGACGACGACGACGACGACGACGACGACGACGACGACGACGACGACGACGATGACGGCGACGTGGCTCTCGCGATCAGACTTGTGCGCCACGACGCGCTCCGACGTCGAAGACGTAGGTGAGAAGGTCGAGAAGGAGAAGGAGTAACAGGAGCCTTGATTAAAGCAGACACCACTGACGATTACGACTGCAAGGATCAGTAGTACCGTCGCCGAAGAACACCACATCGTATATCACTCGTATCGCGTATGGGGATACCTTTGCGGCCTGCTCCTTTCGATCACACGTCACTTAGCCACGAGCACTTCCCGGCATTGGGCGCGGGATTCGATCCATCCCGGCACGGCATAATTCCCCAGGACGCACACGCGTTCGTGTCGTCGGCGTAAACGACGCGCGTTTTAGCGCTCCGTTCCGTTCCACTCCGTTTCCGTCGGAGCGGCACGGCACAGCACGACACGACACGACACGACACGACACGACAGGGCACGGCACGACACAGCACGGCAGCAGGACACGTAATGACACGGCACGGCACGGCACGGTATAGCACGGCACGGCACGGCACGGCACGGCACGGCACGGCACAGCACGGCACGGCACAGCACGGTCACAGCACGACACACGTCACGACACGATACGCGGCACGGCACAGCGTCACTGCGGCCGCGCGCGCGCGCGCGCGCCCGAAAAGCGGAAATTCCCTCGTCTAAACGGCCTCTCAGTCGCGCGCCGCGGCGTGTATATGAGTGTGCGTGCGTGCGTGCGTGCGTGCGTGCGTACGTGTGTGTATGCGTGCGTGACCCACTGTTGATAACGCGAATCAATTCGAGAACGCGCCGTTTCCTCTTCCTCCCCTTATTATTCTACGCTTTTTTTTTTACTTCACGCGAGACACGACGGTATTTTTCTACCGTACACATAACACACGCCTCTACAGGCAACGCGCGTGCAGAGAGCATACACACGTAATCCGTGCTCCCCGTGCGCGCGAATGTATTCACTTCGGAGGGGGACAATGGCCTTCCCTTTTCCTTTTCTTTTTTTCACATCACCAACGTATATCTTTTCGCGACCCGAAGTATATATCACGTTATTATATTTATATACACACCCCGGGGGATCTGTGTATCACCACTACTCGCGCGTCTCGCTTCGCCTCACTTCGGGACGATCGAGGAGACCGCGTTTATACGCACGTAAGTAGATCGCGGATCGCGCGGGTCAATATAATCGAATTATTTCGGCGCGCGATTATACCCATTGCGTGTGGCGGCGTAAAAAACTCCCGTTGTCGCGCGAACGTAGGACACGCGTGCATGCGCGCGGCAATGCCGAGGCGACGTCCGGTCGGACACATCGAAAACAAACCCACTCGTTCACGGCGCTCTCTCGCTTCTCCTTCTTTTCTTTTCTTTTTCTTACGATGTCAGGGATTACGCCTCTCTCGTGAACGCACTCGGTTTCTCAACTTCACACTCGGACCATGTAACGCAGACGGAGCTGACTTCGGCTCCTTCTCACTGCACTACACTACTCGGAGTGACGTCACCGTGGCGGGAGCGTAGCGAGGCTCGCTGACTAGCACCATCGTCCCGCCGTCTGGTGGGGGATCAAAGCGAGGGGAACGGAACGAGTCTACATGAGAGAGGCGGCTTCGCGATCGCGATCGTCGCCCGCCGCCAGGCGGTGAGGTCGCGGCGGCGCGGCGGCGGGTAGGGGAATTGAAAAGGGGGAGGGAAACAACGGGAGGATGCACGCGCGCGCGTGCTTTGGACCGCGAGGGAGAGGGAGGGGGGAACTCGTTCGAATCGAAGCAAGGACAGGTAGGGAGGACTCCGCGAGTCAAACGAGTGGAGAGGGGATAACGGGTCGAACGAGCTAACCCGAACCCCCGAGCCGCGCTTGTCCCTTTCGTCCCGTGGTTTCCCCTTTCTTCCTCGCCCCTTGCCGGATCAGCGTGTTCGCTCTGTCTCTCTTGCTCTCGCGCTCTCCCTCCTCCCTTCTTCTCCCCTTCGCCTCGTTCTTTTCCTCGCCCTTCCTACTCCGCGCGTAAGTCATTCGTTCTCTTCCTCCTGCACCAATACCACCATCGCCGTCGAGTCAAATCCCATCCACCGTCTTCGCATGCACACGCATGCGCGTTGTCTCGTTCTCTTTCTCTCTCCTTTTCTCCCTTTGTCTCTCTCTCCTTTTCTCTTGCTTCAGGGCCGGTTTAGGGGCAGCCAATTACCCGGGGCATTAGTACTTTCTACTAAGAGAATAAAGACGGACAATCGGATTATTACGAAAATAAAAGTATTTAACTTAGTGACGTTCCCTCTAATCAAGGAAGTAACGATCAAACAAACGTGCTGATGTCCGATAGCGCGCATTGATGAGGCGTGCGGGTGGATAAGCGTTTTTGCGTAAATGATCGGTGAATCCGGTATCCAGTAATTCCAGACGAGCGATGAATAAGAATTCTCCGGATGGTTTTGTGCTCCGAAATTTTTTCCATTTCTCCAAATCACATTTTTTCGAGACGCGGATGAAACGAAACGTGGTGTATTTGTGACTAACGCCGATGTAATTTCTTTTCTAGAAACGTCGAATTCTTTGGTCTCCGAGACAAAGCCGATTTGAAACTGCGTCTTGAATCCAATCGAATGTCTCACATATAAATCCTAGAGGTTTATGTTCGTCATACAATACAATTTCCAAAACGTTCATAAAAACCGAACATTCATTCATCATCGCATGGCTGTTTTGAAGCGATATTTAATTAATATACATTTGCTATCCGTACTTCTGTACTTAAAATGCTTATTCAAACGTGTATAGTTATTATCGAATGTTCGATATTGTTAAAAAATAATTCTAATATACATATGCTGTCTGTATCTCTGTACTTAAAATACTTATCCAAACGTCTATAGGTATTATCGAATGTTCGATATTGTTAAAAAATAAATGCACAAGATTATAAATCGAGACGTAAGCGATCGGAGCGAATAATACAAAACGATAATCGAACCGTCATCATTTATCTTATGCCCGACTAACTCCGGCTCTGACGGAAAATATTTCGGGTACCTGGAACATTTTTTCGTATAAATGAATTGTGAACAGCTCGGGCACACAAAAGAGGAACTTTGACGGTTCTGTTAGGGGTGAACAATGCACTAGCTGCGTGCCTGCCGCCGCCATCTTGTTCTTGCCGAGGCTCGCCGGACGCGGACGCCGGGTGGATCGGAGCCGTTGTTATGTCCAATGCTCTGTGCGATCGTTGTTGTTCATCCTTCGACCGCCGTCGCACGTTCGCTGATCGCATGTTACGCGACATCAAGCCCGCGAGCAACAACAGTAACATCCGTCCGTGTGACCGCTTCGAAACGTTGCTTGCTAAGAGAGAAAGCGCGATTTCCGTTGCAATCGTATCGTTGCCACGTCCGAAAATGGACACGAACATTTTCGTCTCCATCGGAAACGTCGAGTAACCGTTGCCGTTCGTATGCCATTTTTCACGATCGTGTATCCTGTGTGCTGGTGAACTTTTTCCCTGGCTGATATTCAAGCCGTGTGGAATTAGTCACTTTCGCGCCATTGAGTGGAACGGACGTGTTTCATCCTCATAATTTTTATACTGCGTTATTATTGCGGTATATCATATTTTCTTCGAGAAAATCTGAAAATTTTAGAGTTCTGTTCCTACATTTTTACAAATGCACATTTGTGACAGAAATCTGTGCATTATGAAATTTTTTGCGTAGCAAATAGTACGTAATAGTCTGAAACTAGTTCGACTGTTGGAATACAATAAGAAACTTTTGATTTAAATTTGAAATAGAATATATTCAAAATAAAAAATAAAAACGAATCTAAGCTAAATAATTTTAATTAAAAACACTAAAAATATAATTAACACGAGACAAATTATATTTATATATATCTATATTTTATATATTTTATTTAAAAATTTATTCATTAAAATTATATTAACATTAGACAATAAAACGCTAATTAGAAAAAAATTAAGGACAAAATTGAGTTTGGAAAAATAAATCTAAAGAACAGTTACCTGAAATAAAGAATTTAGAATAATCGTCCTTTAGAAAGGATAATCACCATAGTTACGCATTTTTGTCTTTGTTACATGCATTTCGTCTTTGTTAAAAATATTTGTGAATTTGTAATGTATTTTCGACAAACTTTCTAGCATTGGATCCATGAGGAATCGAAATGTTGTAGGAATAACGAAAAATAACGTGGGATTGATCCATTTGTTTATACGAAATAAAGATGACTCGTGTAGAGAATCAATTCGACTTTGATGCTTGATTGTAAATAATGACAACATAAAGAATTACATGTAAATATCAACAAATCACGAAGATATTTATTCTGCGCAACTAGCCTTACTCGAGCGAATTTCACTTTTGAATATTGAATATCGAGGCAGTTCGAGAATTCACAGAAATACGTCGATTTCGATATCAGTAGAGAAAGTGATTTCTGAGAAGCTGCTCGTTCGAAAACGAATACGTGTGACCACATTTTCTTAGAGAAAATAAAGGACGAATCTAAACATTTTAGAGCTTTGTTTCTATGTTTCTAAACTAATTTGTCAAGAATTTGCACATTATGAAATTTTCTTGTAGTAAGAAGATAAGATAAGATAAGATTCTATGTCATTTTCTAATAGTTTGAAACTGCTTTGATTGTATTGGAACAAACTGTTGATTCAAATTTGGAATAGGTTTGAAATAATAAAAAATAAAAACAGATCTAATTTGAATGATTTTAATTTAAAAAATTACAAATGTAATTACTAAGAGATAAATTATATATATATATATATATTTTATATATTTTTTATTTTAAAAATTTACTCACTAGTAAAATATTAGACATTGAAACTTTAAAAAGAATTTCCAATAAGGTAAAGAATAAATAACGGACAAAAATCAAAAACAAAATTGAATTTTGAGAGTTTATAAATTTAAAGGACAACTACCTGATATTGTTCTTTAGAATAAAAATCATATAGTCACCAGATATGTCGAACTTTTCGTTACCGGAGGGATATAGATTATTTTATTGTTTCAATTTGTGATCCATATGAATTTCTCGTGAATTTCTTCGCTAAACATTATACTGTTACTCAAATCGATGTAATTCTGCGGATCTCGATGTAATGCGTGAAAATGATCCTCGCTCTTCACGCTCGCTTT